TATGAGGCACCAACCTATCAACTTTCATGTCCCTTCATTGCGCGCACTCACACGCCGGCGGCCGGTGTGGTGGACGTCGGCAATTCAGGAATTGCTGGCGCTGGAGGAGCGGATGGGTTCGGTCGCCATAGCCCCGTCGGCCGTCACGGTCGACCAACTGCCCACGCACCCCTTCTCCAGCGCCCAACTGCGACGCACAGGAGGAGAAGGAGGAGAGCTCGACGAACAGCTCACCACGTACGTCACCCATCGGCCGTTGAACATGGTCATCGTTAGTTAACTTTGTTGTGGTTGCTGTGTCGTTGCATTGCTACAGGTGTACGATCTGCCTGGTGGAGTACGAGGACGGGGAGCTGCTGAAGACGTTGCCGTGCTTGCACTCCTACCACCAGGAGTGCATCGACGAGTGGCTCTCCGGCAACAAGCTGTGCCCCATTTGCAAGTTTGATGTCACCACCGCGCCCAGCACCTACTCCTGAGCAGGAGAGCCCTGTTGTTGGCAGCAAAGCAAGAAAGAAAATGAAAAGAAACAGGACTCTATGTACGAAGAGAAGTAGTGGGGTGGAGGGTGGAGGAGCGGTTTGTGGTTTTGGGGGGAGAGGAGGCTCTAGAAGGCCGGCGCAAAGTCCCAGTGGCGGATGAGCCCGTCCATCGAGCCGCTGACCAGCCGCAACGGCGAGGCCTGCATGCACGTGATTCTTCGATCTGATACCGCCACGCACACAACAACGTGAGCCTCCTGCTCGTGTGTGTCGTGTCGTGTCGTTTGTGATGCGTGTCGTGTGTCGTGTGTGGGATACGACGTACCCAAACGGCTGACGGCGTGGCTGTGGTTGCCGTTGTTCCACCGCTTGGAGATGCAGTTGCCGCTCTCGACGTCGAACACATTGATGCTGCCGTCGTTGGACCCCGTCACCAGGTGGCCCAGCCCGTTGAAAGTAGCCGTCTCCACCCACTCCTGCAGCACGCCAGATATTACATCGTCGACGTAATAAGTCACGTGCGGAGCCACCAGCAGACCAGGACCCGGGCGCGGCGCGTACCGAGTTGCCGAGATAGCGCTTGAGCGGGACCAGCTCGTGGCCGTTCACCATGCGAACGTCGTAGCTGAGGACCGGGAAGCCGGCGCTCTCGCTGCGCAGCGGACCGCCGCCCACGAAGATCTCGTTGCCTACAGGCACCACACCGCAATATCACACGACACACGACACACGACACACGACACACGACACACGACACGCCGCACGCACACACCACACATGACAACACGCACAGAGAACAGTTGAGCCTTCTCTTCAAGCGAGCTCATGAGTGTGGCGGCAGACGGGGCGCACTGTTCTGAGGATTGCGGAGGAGCGAGAGGATGGTGCGCAGGCCGGATTGGAGGGTGGCGACGACCAGTCCCGATGCGGTGTCGAAGATGAGGAGCTCGCCCTTGTTGTTGGCCGTCATCACCTCCCGCGGTCCCCACGGCAGCACGCAGTTGACCGACTTGACCGAGTCCTGCTGCTCCGGCACCAGCACCATGGCACACTCCTCCTTCTCCAAGTCCCACACCTGCATGTGTGCAAGTTGCGCGTTTTTTTCAGCGAAAAAGAACGAAGGCGTGTGGTGTTGTTTGGGGACGCGTGGTACGTACGCGCGTGCTGTGGTCGACCGAACACGACACCAGCTTGTTGTCGCCTGGCATCACGCACAGGGCGTTGATTGAACCCGTGTGGCCAGACAGGTGGCACAGCTCCTGGCCTTGATTCAGGTCCCACACTGAAACCAGCACATACACACGCACGCGCACACCGCACACAGCACACCATCGCAAAAGAATGTCAGTCGGTGGTGGGTGGTGTCCAGGAGGCGGAGAGGGCTTGGCGTACATCGGACGACCTGGTCGAGAGCGCCGGTCGCCAGCCGGTTGCCCTCGGGGCTGGGCACAAACGTCATACTGTACAGATACCCGCCTGCATCGCCCGCGCGCCACATGTGCATCCAGGCTTAGCAGGCCAACCAAGACGCGCGCTACGCTCGAGAAGCGCCGGGAGAACGAGAGAGCAAGAGAGAGAGAGGGATCGAGAGAGGGCAAAGAACAAAGTGACGACTCACGTTTGTGCGCGACCCACGAATTGAGCATCTCGCTGGTGCCCAGCCGCCGCACTTGCACCTCGCCGCTGGTGTTGCCGGAGAGGAGGACGTCCTGCTCCTCGTCGAAGAGCATGCAGTAGCAGCGGGTCGATGACGCGTCCTTGGCCGTGCGCGTACCGAACCTGCCCTCGCGCCAATTCTTGTCGACACATGCGCATTCACACGTGCATGGGTGAGTTACAGCGTCGACCCCGAGCGCGTGCGCGGGAGAAGGTGAAAGATGAATGATGAAGAAGATGAAGTTGACGCACCTTGGTGACCATGTGCTGGGCCTTGAGAAGGGCCTTCCAGCCGGACTCGGACCGGATGCGCTCCTCCCACTTGGCGCGCAGCTTGCCGCCACCGCGCCGCCTGCCGCCCGCGGCGTCGTGTGTTGTCGTGGCGGTGGGCAACTGGCGGCCATCGTACGACTTGAGCAAATAGCTCCACAACACTGCATAAAAGCTAATTATTTAGCCATCATTATTTTTTTAAAATTATTCTATTTAAAAATAAAACAAACAAGAAATAATAATTGTCAATTAAACGAACTAAAAATGAATACAATAAATAAAGATGGTGAGTGTGCCTTCGTCCGAGAGGAGGGCGCGGAAGCGGAGGCTGAGGCGTTCGACGCTTAGAAGGAGGTCGCGCGGTGCGAGGAAGGAGAGCACGATGGCGAGCACCTCGTCTGGTAGCTCCTCCATCGACATGATGGCGGTTCGTTGTTCTATTTGCATTTTTTTTTGTACCTCCTCCTTCTTATACGCCTCACTGCCGAACGCAGATCGTCAGTCCACCACCCTGTGTCTCGCTTCACCACGCCAAGTTGAGGCACCCGCTCAGCTGTCTCTTTTTCCGTTGCTTCTTCCGTGGCGCGTGACTCTGGAATTCAAGGATCGCAAAAAATTTCAAATAGGCCGACAAATATCATTATCAATTTGCTGACCTCTCGCGAGCAAGATGAGGTTGGTTGGCGTTGTGGTGCTCGTGCTGTTGAGTGTCTCTCTCGTGCAGGGCGTCATCCAGGTACGGCAACGGGAACTTCTTGTCTTGTCTGCGCCACTCACCGCGAGTCCACGGCCACTTCACTGTTTAGGTGAACCCCAAGACGCAGTTCTTCGTGGACGAGACCGGACGCACCCGCCTCTTCCATGGCGTCAACGCCGTCTACAAGGCATTGCCCCCAACGCTTTCGCTTTCGCTTTCGCTTTCGCTCTTGCCCCTCCCCCGGCAAAACCCGATAATAATTGAGGTTGCCGAGGGCTCGTGCCATATCTCGGTGTGTTTGGTTGGTTTGTGTGCAGGTGCCGCCGTACTATCCGATGGTGGACGGGTTCGACCCGCAGCTGTCCCTGTCCGACAGGGACATGCAGGACCTCCAGCGCTGGGGCTTCAACGCCCTCCGCGTACACATTCCTAGCATATCAAGGCCGTTTTTGGGGCGCTGCGTGTCGTTGACGGTGGGTGCGTGGTGCAGTTGGGCGTGATGTGGCCGGGCGTGGCGCCGACCAATGGCACCTTCAACGAGACCTACATCGACGTGATGGCGTCGATCATCAAGAAGCTGGGCAGCTACGGCATTTACACCATCGTCGGTTCGCATGCTCCTCTCGTGTGGCTGTAGCGAGAGGGGGGGAGGGAGCTGATCACAATCGATTGTTTTGTGTTGGGCTCGAGGGGAGCAGACGCCCACCAGGACCTGTTCACGCGTCAGTGCTGCGGCGAGGGCGCGCCCGATTGGGCCGTCGACTTTGGCAGCTTCTCCCTGCCCTTCCCCCTGCCTGCCACGGGCGCCACCGTACTACCTGCCAGAGTTCCATCCATCCTCTTGTTCTACATCCACCCTTACCTCCGAACGCGCACACGCACACGCACACCACCGCACACGCACACGCACACGCACACCACCGCACACACGACACACGACACATAGGTTTTCCCCAAGGACAAGAATGGATATCCTCCGCTGTCTGAGTGCCTCAAGGTTTGCTCACTTGTTATTTGTCATCATTTTAGTTAATGATTTATTTTTTTTATTTTGCTCTCCGCGCAGTACGGGTTCGGTCAGTTCTACTTCGCCGAGCAGACCATGGCGGCGTTCCAGAGCCTCTACGACAACCGACGCGGTATTCAGGACGGGTATCGCACCACCATCACCACCACAGCTTCTCAACTCGCGCGTTTCTCGCTCAGAGTGCTCTCCTATAATGGCTGTGATTCATCAGGTTCATCAGCTACTGGTCGAAGCTGGCGCAGACCTTCAAGGACTCGCCCTACGTGCTCGGCTACGAACTCATCAACGAACCTGTACGCGGGCCTCCCCCCTCCCACTCACCTCTCCTCACTGTGCGGTAGCGCTCAACCACTCGCGACGGACCGCCAATGCCAGTTCGCGGGCAACGTGTATGCGAACCCGTCGCTCATCGTCCCGGGCGTGGCCGATCGGGCCAACCTGTATCCCATGTACCAGCGCCTCCACCGCGCCATTCGGCAGTGGGACGACCAGCACGGTGCGCACCCTTCTTTCCGCTGCGTACAAGACGGCCACGTAGCCACCATGCGCCTAACCACTGAGCGTGGGGCGTGGATTCAGTGATCTTCTACGAGTGCGCGACCAACGATCTGTGGGAGGTGGGATTCCCGGAGGGACCCGGCGGCCACGCCTACGACGACCGTCAGGCCTTCGCCTACCACGTGCGTGTGACCTGCCACCTTAATCTTCAGCCATCAGTCCGCTGAGTCGTGTGCGATTGTGCGTGTGCGGTGGTGCGTGTGTCGTGTGTGTGCGTGGTCGTGAATAGATCTACTGTGGCCCGCAGGACTCGGATGGTTCGCCGGGTAGTGTAATCCTGTGCGACGCCGAGGACACCTACTTCTACAGCCTCTACAACTCGACCATCAAGCGCCTGGGCGGCGGGTACTTCATGACCGAGTTCGGCGCCATGGCCAACAACTCGCGCGGCATCGACAACATGCGCTACCTCACCGGCCAGGCCGACCGCCACCTCTCCTCCTGGACCTACTGGCAGTTCAAGGGTACCTCGCCCTTGACGTTTTCGCTGCTGACGTCATCAGCGTTCTTACATAATTCTGCCCAACCCCGCCAAGGCTACAACGACATCACCACGTCGTCGCAGCCCACGGCCGAATCGTTCTACGACGCCGCGGGCGAGCTGGAGGTCAACAAGGTATCTACCAATATAGCTACCACTAGAGTAGTGCTTGGGTGTCGGCGTAAGGTGGTGGCTGATCGATCGATTCGACCGGGTCTGCCCAAACACACACAGGTAAAGGCGCTGTCGCGCACCTACGCGAGGGCCATCGCCGGCACGCCGACCGCGATGAACTTCGACCCGGAGACTAGCGTCTTCCAGCTCACCTATATCCTCAACCTGGTACCACTACTCCAAGCACCGCCCAACACTCAACACACTCTTTTGAACGGTTCGCATCGACACACGTATGATCAGAAGGTGAGCCAGCCCACGGAGATCTACCTCAACGAGGAGTACTACTACGCCAACGGCTACGTCGTCTCCGTCGTGCCGAGCCAAAGTACGAAGCCTGCCCCTCTGCCCAATACGCGGGTACTCTCCGCGTAGCTCACCGCCTCTCGTTGCCGCTTCCTCTATTTCCCCTGCGCGCAGTCGTGCAAGCCAAGTCGCCGGGCAAGAACCTCGTGTGGGTGTACGCCCTCCCGACAGCCACCGACGGCGCCACCATCACCATCACCATCAGCCCCAAGTGAGCATTGCGCTTCCCCCCTGTCTTTTAGAAATAGAATTAATAAAAAAATAGATGACAAAAATGGACCATTTATAGAATGATTCAAGAAAAAAATAAATAAACTCAAGGGCTTGAATCAGAAGAAGAGGGCAGAGATGGCGGCGAGCAGGAAAGAGGTGGGCGCACTCTCGCACCTGGCCCATGATCTGCGCCCTGAAGCACGCGTTGTTGTTCAAGATCTCGGCCTGTTCAGTGCGTCGAGTTGTTAGCGCACAACACACACGACCGCACACGACACACGGAAGCGGTTGCAGGCGGTGGAGCCGAGGCCGTCACGGCCGCAGGCCGCGGCGTCGCTCGGGGAGACGCCGGCGCAGGTGTAGTAGGCCGAGACGAGCTGGCTCGACACGTTGACGAGGCAGGCGCCGAACTGACAGCCGGGCACGTAGGCAGAGCAGGTCATGTGCTTGAGCGCGGTGAGGCAGTCCTGGCACACGCTGAAGCCGTGCCTGGCTGCGGCGGTGGCCACCGCGGACTTTTCATGTTGCTCGGCCTTCATGGCGGTACGTCCACCACTTGACCACTGCGCTCTTGCGGTGCCTTCGTTCAAGTAAAATAAATTCCTAATATCTGTAATTCCCCAGCCCTTGCCTGCAGCGAGGTCTCTTCCTCGGGACTCAAGTTCTGCTTCAAGAATCTGCCCAGCAGCAACTTCAACAACCACAACTCGAGCCTCACCAACATCCTGACGATCTTCGAGTCCGTCTTCTCTGCTGTACCCTTTTCTTTTACTCACACCTTGGGCGAGCAAGCGCAGCCTCGGCGAGCGCGGTGCAGAGCGCCAGCGAAAGGGCACTACGGCCTTCTTCGCCACGCGCACCCCCGACATGCTGTGCGATCAGACACCCCCCGCCAACACACAACCGTGAGAGGCAGACGGCCAGCGATGTCCTCGTGTTAGCAGCAAACAGCCGATCCTCGTCCAGATTGACGCACAACACTGTACTTCACTCAACTCCTAGCCAAAGAACAAATAACGAAGAGCGAAAAAGAGAAGAGAGTCTTGCGGTAGATGCTGCCTACATGGGCTGGACAACCTGGCCCACGAAGATAGGGCAGTGAAACTGGGCATGGAAGAGCACAAACACGAACGGCCTGTCCGCCACGAAGCGCAGGGCCGGAGGCAGGCTGAATTGCGGTTTGCTGTCGCCCGAGGCATCGTTAACATCGTTGTTGATGCCAGCTTCGTCGACGGTGAGGATCGCCTTGTGTATCACCTTGCCCATGTGCAGCAGCGACCTCCTGGTAACGACGAAGATGAAAGCCATCAGTGTGAGTTGAGAGAGACAATGCAACAAAGGTGTCTGAGTACTCAGGGTCGGCGGAGGCGTCTTGGGCTATGATCCCGGTGAAGTCGGCGCTCTCCTGGGCGAACGGCTCGACGACGCCGATCGACTTGAGCACGGGCGACAGCTCCTGCTCAACTGAGACCTGGAACTTGGGCAGTTGCAGCTCCACCCACTGGCGACGACCCGAGACCAGCGCCTTGTACTGCTCCGGCAATCCGATCAGCGACGCTCTCACCTGTGTGCGCTGAGATTCAGCACAGCGCCTAGCTGTTGGCATCGCACCACACACAAAGCTCTCGTACCGCAGCGAGGGCCTCGGATGAGTTCACGTGGGGCAGCAGGACGAGCAGGCGCAGAAGGGAGTTCTCGTGGGGAAGGCTCACCATCGTGTGGTGCTCAAACGTTCCGTGTGCAATTGACATTGACTCATGACGCATCATCTGCACATCACTGGATATGTCGTCGTCGACACCTCCGAGCCGGTGGAAGGGCGAGGCCCGAGTGTTCTCTCTGGGGAAGGCGTTCTCCCACACGCCCTTGAACCAAGCGCCGTTGATCACCGCCAGCCCGTTGGTGTCTGTGAACGCTCTATTGCACATAAGAGCGCAATGTGTGTGTCAAGAGAGTGTTAGCGGCCTGTGCACGACAAACACACACTCCTGGACGTGGAGCGGAGCCGTACCGAGGAGGATCGCGTGGGCGGTTGATTTTGGTCAGGAATGCGCTGAGCGCCACCTGCTCCCGGTCAATCTCGGCAAAGTTAACAGCGCAGGCATCGGAGGCAAGGCCCCCCAGGCGCGCGGTGAACGCGGGGTCGAGGGGCAGCGTGGTGTCAACCCACATCTTGTTCTCCAGCACCAACGCCGCCTTCTCCGAGTGTTTGATATCCTACATGAAAAGATTGGAGGTTAGGTGGTCAGCGATGTTGTTGAGCATCAAGAGAGAGAGAGAGAGAGAAGGAGAGCGTACAGCGACCAGAGTCTTCATGGCGGAGAGTACTTGCTCCCGACCCAATTCGGAGCTAAAACCCATGGCGCTGAGGAGTTGGTTCGCATTCTCGCCGGCAGCGCTACCCGCCAGAATGAGCGCGAGCGCCAGCTGGACGCCGAGCGGAGAGATAAGCGCGTTCTTGTCGTCGTCGAGCTTAGAGGCAAGCTTGGTCGCAAGCATGCAACCAGCTGCGCTGGTCGTCGCTTCCATAGTGCTGAATGTGCTTGCTTAGGAGTGAATGTGAGTGATTGTGGAGACTGGGCCGAATATATAAACAAATCTATCGTTGCCCACTATCTCTATCGGGGTCCGAGAACCTTGCCGGAGGCAACAGCCAATCGGGGATATAAGGGAACTTGAAGGAAAACACTCCCAGTGGAAGATAAAAGGCTACGGCCTTATATCCCCGATTGGCTAAAAAAATTCCCGGCCAATAATGATAATAAGGCAAGCAAGTGAGAAATGAAACTCTGGACACATCTCACCAATAAAAGGGCTATGGAGACAATAACTTAGTTGTCTCTCATCTCTCTTGCACAGACCATGTCAAGTCTGCCAACTACATTTGTGATTGTGCTGGTTGTGATTTCAAGTTGGTCCCTTGCCCTGTTGATGTTGCTTGGAAATGCTCAACAGCAGACTTGACATGGTCTGTGCAAGTGTGGAGGAGTGCCTCCTGGTTGTGCAGCATTTTCTGCGCCTTTGCTAGGCTATGTTGTTGATGCTCTCAATGATGGTGCAGACTGGGTTATACTCTGTGGGTAGGCTGTTGAGCATGACCATGAGGAGGTTTGTTTCTGGGAGTGCCAGGCCTTTGGCCTCTAGCTCCCTGGCAAGTGCAGAGATGTGTCTGAAGTAGGCATTAAGGTCTTCACTGCTGTTGTGCTTGATGTTCCCACACTCATGACAGCACATGAAGGAGGTCACTGCAGGTGTGAGGGCTATGGGACTTAGCCTTCAGGCACACCACTGAACCCAAGCAGCTACAAGGAGAGACTGCTGCTCAGTTCATGCTTCACTCCCATAACCTCTGCATGGTCTTCAAACAGGGCAAACAGACATGCAAGCTGATCCAATCCAGTCCAGCTCCCCAAGCAGCCACACCACTTGAGCACCAGGTCCAAGTTCCAGCAGTTCCTGCACAAGCAAGGCATTGTGCATGAGAAGGTAGCTCCCCACATGCCAGAACACAATGGGGTAGCTGAGTGATTCAACCACACCATCATCAACATGGTGCAGTGCATGCTTTTCAACAGCAGCTGCCCAGGAGCTTCTGGGGTGAATAGCTTGCAACAGCTGTCATGATCAACAATTGCCTCCACCATCACCAATCAAGGCCATCCACCTGTGTCAACCTGGGACAACAACCAACGCGTAACACTACACAAGATACATCAGTTCAGATGCCCAGTCCTGACACTGACACCCTCCATCAACCAGGACAAGCTCATATCACAGGTGCACAAGGGAACCCACCTCAGACCTGCATGGAACAACTCAACCCATCATCATGTCCTTGTTAGTGGCTGAGTGCGGGAGTACAGAGAGGTCACCTTTGGTGATGACCTCCCCATTACATTGCCTGGAGCACCAAGTGTTGACAACCTACTTGAGATCCCAGGACTCCATGTGGAGAGCAACACACCTCACAAAGAATCAAGCCAGTGCAGAGACCAGCAGCTGGATGATGACCACAACACAGGCAACATGGATGACATGCCCACACAAGGACACTCCCTCTCCCAACTCCACACACACCTAGCACAAGACAACACTCCAACCCCACCTCCACATGAGGAAGACGCACCAACCCACATGACCATCACCAGGTTTAGTCACTATTTAGTAGTGGCCATGATGGAGGAGATAGAAGTGCTCACCCACAACCATGTCTTCAAGCTGGAGCCACTTCTGCTGGGAGAAAGGCTATCAGGGCACATTGGCTGTTCAAGATCAAGCAATGTGCAGCAGCATGGTAGGGTGAGCATTGTCATAGCATTCTGTCACCATGCGCTCCCTCCAATCTTCAAAAGACTTGCCAAGGCCTGCTGCCTTCCTACCCCTCACCTTGGGCCAGTGTACCAACACCATGTGGTTCATTGTGGTCAGTGGCATGTCCACACCAGTTAGCATTGGCAATGACACCCTCCAGTTATTTTCCATGCTGATGGTGGATTTTGTGGTGGGAACCATTACACTTGCTGACGCTACAGTACCCTTTTGTACCTCCCAGGTCAGGCACTCACAATCCCACATGAGATCATCCAGTGAAGAAGGCTGCCTACTGTACTTCATTGGCTGAAGGGTTATTCCTGTGTGGTGAAGCCAAGAAGATGTGCAGTGCAGGTGTACAGCCATCTAACAGCCTATGGTCAGCACCAGTGGTGCTGGTGTGCAAGAAAGACAGCACAATGAGGTTCTGTGTTGACTACCAGGCCCTCAACCATCTGACAAAGAAGGATGCTTATCCTCTGCCATGCACAGATGATCTTATTAATGCCTGTGAAGGGTCAGTCTACTGGTCAAGCCTGGATTTGGTGTTGGGCTATTGGCAAATACCCCTCCAGGAGAGCAATAAGGAGAAGACAGCATTCTCTGTCAGCCACAGCCTCATGACAGTATGGATTATCTGACCAAGTGGCTGGAGGCGTTCACAGTTCATGAAGCCATGGCCAGTGTCACTGCCCATTTGCTAGTCAAACAGATTGTTGCTAAGCATGGTGCACCTGAATGTTTCCTTTAGATTGGGGCTACCATTTTCTGGGCAAGGTGGTTGGCAATGTCAATCACCCACTCCATATCAAGAAGGTCAACACTATGGCGTACCACCCCCAGACCAATGGGCTCATCAAGTGGCTAAATGGCACACTCCAAACAATACTGGCCAAGTATGTCTCCAACCAGCAGCACAACTGGGATCAGCTTCTACTGTATGCACTGATGGCATATCACACACAACCCCATGAAGTGAGGTGAGTCACCATTCTTTATGCTCTACAGTTGGGAGCCCTACCTGCTGGTTGATGTCACTGCTGGCGCACCCAATGAGGGGGGCGCCCCTTCTCCCACAGTCTTCCATTGTGAACTGGTCAATCTGTTGCATCAAGCACACAGCATCATGTGAGAGTGTCAGTTATATACAATGCCCACTACTTGGTGGGTGATCAGGTGTGGTGCACTCAGCCCACATTGCATGTGGCCAGACTACCAAGCTCACTCACCTGTGGACTGGACCTTACTGTGTCATTGAGGTTATGAGTCACTTGGTACTACAAGTGCAGCACACCAATAACCCAAACTCTAACTGAGCTGCGAGCTAGGGCCATTGGCGATGGCGACGATGAGACCAAGGACATCATGGTGGATGCTATACTGGACAATCATGTAGTTGATGGCCATGTCCAATACCACATTCATTTCACTGGCATGACATCACGCTACAACACGTGGGTCAACAACACTGACTTACACGCCAATGGTAGCCTGTAACGCTGACAACCCGATGGGCGTGACAAATAAATAAATAAATAAACTCAAGCCCTTCAGGGCTTGAATCAGAAGAAGAGGGCAGAGATGGCGGCGAGCAGGAAAGAGGTGGGCGCGGCGGCGGCCGAGGTCTGCACGGACGCGCCGTAGGCCGGGTAGTTGTTGCTCTGGGGCACGGACAGGCACAGGTGGTCGTTGGGACAGGCCTGGTTGGCCTGGTTGTCGCCCACCGCGCGCTTCTTGTTGGCGGCGCCGCACCAGCCCTTGGTGGCCTCGCAGGTGAGGCCCGCCGGCAGGTCGATGTCGTAGCCCTCGGCGGGGAAGTACTGGCAGATGTCGTCCTTGACCGTTTGGTCGGGCGTGCACAGGCACACGTCGACGAAGCTCTCGCACATGGCCCGGCCCATGATCTGCGCCCTGAAGCACGCGTTGTTGTTCAAGATCTCGGCCTGTTCAATACGTCGAGTTGTTAGCGCACAACACACACGACCGCACACGACACATGACCGCACACGACACACGACCGCACACGCGACACACGGACATACCTGCTTGCGGCTCATGCAGGCGGCCAATTCGTAGGAGTTGCCGGCGCTCTGGTAGATTTGGGCGAGGAAGCGGTTGCAGGCGGCGGAGCCGAGGCCGTCACGGCCGCAGGCCGCGGCGTCGCTCGGGGAGACGCCGGCGCAGGTGTAGTAGGCCGAGACGAGCTGGCTCGACACGTTGACGAGGCAGGCGCCGAACTGGCAGCCGGGCACGTAGGCGGAGCAGGTCATGTGCTTGAGCGCGGTGAGGCAGTCCTGGCACACGCTGAAGCCGTGCTTGGCTGCGGCGGTGGCCACCGCGGACTCGACCGACGGCCACGTCTATTGGTCCATGATTGATCAATAAATTTTAGCCCAAGCATAAAAGAACGAAAAGCGAAAAGCGAAGGTGAGAAGCAAGGTACAGCAGAGAAGACGGAGTCGAAGATCGTCAGGATGTTGGTGAGGCTCGAGTTGTGGTTGTTGAAGTTGCTGCTGGGCAGATCCTTGAAGCAGAACTTGAGTCCCGAGGAAGAGACCTCGCTGCAGGCAAGGGCTGGGGAATTACAGATATTAGGAATTTATATTACTTGCACGAAGGCACCGCAAGAGCGCAGTGGTCAAGTGGTGGACGTACCGCCATGAAGGCCGAGCAACATGAAGAGGAGAGCGACAACGAGGACGGACTTCATGTTGTGGTGATGGTAGGGTGCAGGGTGGTGGCTTTCAGTGCCTTCCCCTCCCACTGTTTTATGGCCCTCTTCGGCCAATGACGCCGCAGAGCCACCAAACCGCGGTCCTTCAACACAAGACTTTTGTGGCAGCACTGCTTTTGACAGCCCTTCATTCTTGGGATTCTGTCGCGTCTCTGTTGGTGGTGATTGGAGCGATGAGAATTGAAAACAAGGTGCATCACCATATCCGAGATCTGCCAGCGCGCATTTATGTTGTTCTAAATATCAATTTCAATGATCATCACAGGGTGTCCTGCTGCGCTCGCAAGACAAAGGCGTCGCCACCGAGGCCCAGCGAGGCGCTGTTGCCGCGCAGCGCTGTGAGGCCAAGACCACTGGGTTTGACTAGATGGCGGGAGAATGGGTGATCGACCCGCGACCTTCAACTGTATGAGGGTCTTGGCAAAGGGTCCTTCAGCGAGGTCAACTGCTGCCACCACCAGCGTACCCTCTCCATCACCACAACATGAAGTCTGTCCTCGTTGTTGCCATCCTCTTCGTGTTGCTTGGCCTTCATGGTGGTACATGAGAAGTAGAATGGTGTCTAGAAGGTGGTGAGGATTGTGAGGACAGGAGATACTGGAGCAAACAGAAGGTGGAAAAGGTCATTGTAGATGATGCAGAGAATCTCACAAATCTGACCTTCTGTTATTGATCATGGTGCAGAGATCATCCAGGGCCAATTCAGTCAACTTGTCCTCCTCCTCCACCCTCATGGTTGTACCAAGTACATCACCACTACTTCTCTCACTCATGGGAGTTTCTCAAGAAATAATGGTTCAAATTCACACATACGCACGGGAAATCAGTGAGCAAGTACATACACATAGCTTGCATGGAGACATGGATGCGGTGGTAATGTAGTCTTCTGGGTTGAGTGGCAGAGGGCAGCTTGCCATTGAGGGAAAAATCAGGCTTTGGCGGGCCAAAGAACATCCCCACAGCAGCAATGGAGTCACATCTCCAGCTCTTCCTTCTCTTCTTCAGACATCTTCCACACCAGCATCATTCCACACTCCCAGGAGCCAGCAAAGCAAGAGGAACAGGAAGAGGCAGCAGACACCTCCAGGCCATTGACTTCACTTTCTCTTGGAGTTATCTCTTTCATTGTTGTGTGCGAAAATGTGTTCTCGCTGGGCGAAGAGAGAGCGCGAGGGAAGCGGGAGAGTTTACATGGCGGCCAGGGTGGCAAGGATGTCGGCAGTGCTTGGTCGGTCCTGCGGCTTCTTGTTTGTACACTTGTTGAAGAGTTTGAGCAGCTCCTTGAAGGCCTCCTTGTCCACGCTCTCCGGCACCGTCGGCCGAATGCCTTTGACGTTGCAGGTCGAGATTTCGAAGTGGTTCTTGTCGAAGTAGGGCTGCTTCATCACTATGAGCTCGTACAGCACCATGCCGAAGCTCCACACTGCCCGCACGCGAAACACACAACACACACGACACACACGACGTACATGGCACAAACGACACGACACAGGTGGTTAAACCACCATCGATGCCTACAAAGGAGACGTGTAGATGAGGCGTCGTACCATCGGCTTTGACGCCGTGTCCCCTCCCGCTCTCTGTGAACACCTCGGGCGCCATCCAGCCAGCTGCGTCGTGCGTGCGACCATGCGCGGATGTTAGCGGGACTCCGGCTTCTTCGCCACACGAGCTTCACAGCAACAGCGACGACGGGTGCACTATGACGGTGGGTGGGGTGCACGTACGGGTGCCCACTTGGGTGAAGGTCTTGGCCCCGGTGGTATCCAGTATCTTGGACGTGTCAAAGTCGCCGATGTGCAGCCTGCGCGGCTTTCGATGATTGTCCCACGACACGAAGATATTGTCGCTCTAGACGGCGAGTGAGAAACAAGACGGCGGTCGTGTGGGGTGATCTTAGTTAGCCGCATCACAGCAATCACTCACTCTCGCGAATTATATTGGTGTGGCGGTGGGTGGCGGTGGGAGCAAGGTCACCTTGAGGTCGCGGTGGATGATGGGCGGATCCTGCCTGCCGAGGTAGTGCAGGCCCCTCGCTATCTGGAATGCAAAATCGACCACCTCCTTCGGCGTGAAGGGTTTGCCTGCACACGACGCACACGACACACAGCCAGCAAAACCTCTAGTTAGGACAATGATGACTGCCAAAGACGAGAAAGGCGTGATGCGTGCGGTGTGTGCGGGAGGTTACCCGTGGCGGCCCGGCTGGCGATCACCTGCCAGAGAGTCTCGGGGTAGATTTGGGTGAACATGCGGATCTCCTTCTTGTCTTCCCGATAATCGAAGGCCAGCAGTCGCACAACGTTCTCGTGTCGCAGCTGCGCCGTTATGCTATGTAGTTGCACGACACACGCAGCACACGCAGCAACACACGTAAGCACGGTGCTGGAAGATGATTCCAATTCAATCGAAGAAGGCGAGGAGTGTAACACACACACACACACACACACAACCCATCCCCAGAGGGGACCCCTCCCAAAATTGGGGTAGGCCGGTAGGCCGCCTGTGGTTGTAATGTTGTGTGTGTACCTGATCTCGGAGAGCATGCGCTGGGTCTGCTCCTCGCTGGGGAAGGTACTGCTGTCCATGATCTTCGCAGCAAAGAACATGCCTGCACCCACCCAGGGACAACAACACGTTTGTACCATGAACCGTTGCGGCATTCTTCACACACACACAACACACACAACACACACACACACAACACACACACAAGTTGCCTGTGGAGCAGTACCCTTGATGGAGCAGGCGTAGACGGTGGCGCCGCTGGCCCCTCGCCCCAGCTCTTCGTGGAATTCGATCTCGTCGTTCTTGAAGTCGATCGTGAGCACCTCGCTCGCCGGCAGGCCGTGGGTCGGGCTGTGCTGGCCCTCGCCCAGCCGCGTCACACGCTCGACCGGCAGCGACTCCGAGGCAGCGTACTGCCCGACCCGCTCTTGTTCTGCCGCGCGGCCGCCGCCGCAGGCATGCTGCCGTGACCAGCGACTCGCCGCTCATGCCGAAGCCGACGGGGATCGACGACGACGAGGCGTAGCTCATCGCAATGGGCGACGTCTGCGCGCCGCCGGCAGCTGACGATGATGATGATGACGTCGACATCGACGACGACGAGGAGCCGGTGCGGAGG